TCCCTTACAAGTGAACATATGTAATCAAAAGTCTTCTTGGAAGCACGGAAAAAATACTTGAAACCTTCCTCTTCATCACTAGGTACACCAGAACCTGCAAGATATAAGGTATAAGAGTGAGTTGATCCCTGCAACATAGAGTCCAAAAAAGAAAAAAAAAATATCCAAAATGACCTTATAGGAAAAAGTTGCAAAAATAAAAAAGAAATAAGACACTGTTGTTACATAAAACATCCTAGCATACAACTCCAGTCTATCGGAATCTCTCAAACTTACTTACGTGGGTTGAAATTAGAATCAATCTAGCGGGAAAACCTTCATTTTGCTAAGGACAAGTGGACAACAATCACATTACAAACCTAAGAATGATTAACTATTATCCTAACTATAACAGCTCCTGCATTTCCAATGTAGAAGTTCTGCCTTTGACAATACCTACAACGCCTTGGATTTCACTAGAATAAATTAGACTTTTAAGAGAGATCATTTATAACAGGAGTCTTAAGTAACCTCTTTTCTTCCTATTTTAGAGACCTGACTTCAAGTATGCTATGCATACAGAAGCCAGAGATAAATGCAGTAAATTAAACTAGTTAGAGTTAACAACATGAATAATCAGACTATTTTTCACACAACCCTTCAACCTGGCGCAGGAGCGGAGCCATAGGGGGTGTCAAAATTACACAGTTTAGATATGTCAAAAACAATTCTTTTATTCTATATATGTGAATCCCCTTTGAATGCTTTGCGAATTTAACGAATAAGGGGTTAAAATAATGCACTAAATTTGCAGAAATCAGGCTTAAAAATCCAATCTTGACATTTACCAACACCCCAATGGAAGTCCTAAGTAAAGTCTTACAGAGCTTTAACAAGTCAGATGGAATCGGAAAAACAATACGATTTGCGAAAAATGTAGTTAAAGAATGGAAATTTGAGCAGAGAGGGACCTGGGGTTGATGAATTCTTGTGCCAGAAACTATCCCACCAATCGCATTCAGTTCCTTTGTTCTCAACAGGAACAATGTTGATGGACTTGTTTTTCTTGTTTTTGGCTTTGATTTTCTTCAACTTGTTAGAATCTTTCTTGGATTTCTTTAGAGGAGCCATCCACCGATTGTGTTTACACACTCTAATTGTTACACCGAAAACTTCGACACACCACCTAAAATGCAAACTCTTCCTTGTCGACTTTACTGTCTTTTGGTCTTTTGTTTTTACTTTGAGAAACTGACATAAATAGTCCCTTAACTAGGACTAGGGCTAAAATGGTTCTTTAATTATATTTTTGTTTCAGTTCTTCAACTCTTCAAAAGATCTCTTATTTATACATTTATCGGTTATTCACTTCTACTCTTCTAACTATTTAAAAATTTATCAAATTTGCTCTCTGTCCATTTTTTATATAAAATTCTTTAGGTTTCTGTTAACGGAATTCATATCTCGAAAAATTAAATCATTTAGCATTCATTTTTCAGTTGTTTTTCTCTATCCTCACTATTTTTTCTTCAACTTATTCTTATGAAAAGAACCTTAATCTCAACGATTCAAAATAAAAGTCACGAGGAAAAAAAATATAAGTTATAATTGTATTTAAAGGACGATAAAATGAAGCATATTTTATTGCTATTAATGACTTGAAGATGCTAAACTTTATTATAAAAAAATATTACTTGTTAAATTCAAAATTTGTACTCCAACGACTTTATTGAAAGATTTTTTTTAATTTTTCAGAATTAAAATTTATAAAATGGTAGATTGCAATTTTATTTTTTTTGTTAAATAAAACGATTTATTATTCTATTCATTTTATTTTACATAGAGAAATTTGAGTAATAAGATCAAATCTAAACAACTTAAAAAATGAGTTAAAGATTTAACTTCACGAAAAGTTTTGCTATTATAAATCTAAGTTATTTGTATAAAAAAAATCGATAAAGATCAAACCTGATAACTTTTTGAATACTTAAAGGACTAAAATCGATAAGTGTATAATTAAGAGATCAAAACTAATAAGTTTTTAAATACTTAAAGTACTAAAACTAGTAAGTGCATAGTTAAAAAATTAAAGCGGATAAGCTTTTAATAGTTAAAAGATTAAATCTGCTAAACATATAGTTAGGGGTTCATTTTAGACTTAATCCTATAGTCAAAAAACAATTTATGACATTTTCTCTTTTTACTTTAGAGATAAGTGTCAAAAACACACCTAAACTATTCTTTTTTTTTAATTTCATACCTAAACTATTGAAAGTGTGAATTTCATACCTAAACTATCACTTATTAGTTTGAGAAACACACCTCTCTCTTTTATACCACTCTCATCATGGTGTGTGTACTACACTCTCTCTTTTATTTAAAAAAAATTGTCACATCACAAACTACATGGATAAAGCATTACACCTTGACAAAAATTAAATAAATTATTAATATTAGTTAAAATTAAAGATTAAAAAATTATTATCCAAAAAAATAATAATATTTTATTTAATAAATATTTTTCTTACCCAAATCCATCACTTCCTCTAACCGTCCCCCCCCCCCCCCCCTCCCTCTAGCCCTTTTTTTTTAGTGTTTTTGGTTTAAATTTCTAACTTTTTTTACTTCACCCCTTCCCCTCAAATACTAATTTAGATATTATCTTTAAAAAAATAAAAATAAATTCTACCCACTCCACCAAACTTTCCGCTTCCATTTTTTTCTCGTTTTGTGTTAGATATAAACATATCGAAAATATTTTTTTACTTGCCGCCACAAGACTTTTTTTAAAATAAAAATTTTATTTACTTATTATTCGGTACACCAGTAGAAAAATTTGCAAAAAATATTTATGTACATATCTAACACAAAACAAGAAAAATGTAAAAAAAAAATAAAAAAAAAAATTAGGAACGGAGGGTTAAATAAGATGGGTAGAATTTTTATTTTTTTAAAATAAAATAATATCAATTTTTTTTTGGGGGGGGCGGGAGGTGAAGTATGATTTTAAAATTTAAATAAAATATTTTAAAAAAAAAAAACAAGTACAAACGAACGAACATTGTTGGGGGGCGGCGGGGGGGGGGGGGGAGGGGGGGAAGGGTTACGGGGAGGAGGTGGTGGAGTGGGTTAGGAAAAATAATTTATTTTTAAAAAAAATTATATTCTTTGGGATCGTAATAATTTAATCTTTAATTTTTTAATTAATATTAATAGTTTATTATTTAATTTTCGTTAAGGTGAAATATTTTATCCATGTGACATGCCATGTGTAGGGGTGTTCACGGGTTGGTTTGGATCGGTTATTGATCAAAATCAAAATTAAATCAACTTAATCGGTTTTAAAATTATCAAAACCAAACCAAATATAATATACATTTATCGGTTTGGTAGTTGTCGATTTCGGTTTGGTTTGGTTCGGTTATTCGATTATTAACCATACACAAAAATAAAAGAAACAATTCATTCAAATGTGAAAAAAGTGACAACAATCCATTCAAAACAAAAAATAGTTAGAATGACTTAAATTACCGATCTTTCGATCATTTAATTTACTATCAATAAAGCTTTAAAATTCACTATATTAGCCTAAAAGGAAGAGACAATAACATTTTCAGTCCCACAAAGATTGTCATAGACATTCATATACATGAAATCAATAAGATAAATGTTTTCACCTTGGACAATATTCTTGCTTTCAATAAGTAAAGTATAAAGAAATTTTAATTAAAATATATATAAGATCTTTAAAATTGTTTATAAAAACAATATATAAGTATGTATATAATAAAATATATGTATATAATTCATCGGTTCAGTTCGGTTATTTCTTTGATTTTTTCGAATAAAATCATAATCAAACTAAATACTACCGGTTTTCAAAAATTTAAAACCAAACCAAACCCAAATAAAATCAGTTTTATTTTATCGGTTTGGCTTGATTTTTTGATTTGGATCGGTTTTTATCTAAACCGTGAACACCCCTAGCCATGTGTCAAGGTTTTCTCAAATAAAAGAGAGAATGAATTACACACACTACTGATGTGTATTTCTCAAACTAATAAGTAATTGTTTAAATATGAAACTCACACTTTCAATAATTTAAATATGAAACTTAAAAAAAAAAAAAGAGTTTAAATGTGTTTTTGACATTTATTTGTTTACTTTAGTCAAAAGATGAGCCATTGGGTTTATTAAGGACAAATTTATCACTTCTATAAAGAGAAAATGATCAAAATGGTCCTTAATGTATGACTTTGATTCCATTTGGTCCTTAATGTATGGACTTGATGGAAATGGTCCTTTATGTATTATAAATTGTGATCAATTTGGTCCTTAACCCTAAAATTAATATTTTATTTTATTTTGCCGTCAAAATACACGGAATATGTAAAAGATGCGCTCGTTCAAGACTTTTCTTCCCCTATTTCTAAAAATTCCAAAATGGCACATCAATTTTTTTTAACCAAAAGGGCAAAATCGCTCCTGACGGAGCGATTTTCTTCTGACAAAATTGACGTTGTTACTCCTTTAAAAAACATAAAAATCGCTGCCGATCCAAAAAAAAAATTATTTTTTCTTTAAAATCGCTGCTGTGATTTTTTTTTTTTAACAACGCTACCCCAACAACGTTTAAAAAATAGAAATAGCTGCTATAGCAACCATTTTCTTAAAAAAGTTTTAATTTTTTCTTATTAAAAATTCTCGAGGCGAGGACTGCTTAAAAAATAATGGGAAATCGCTCCACGTGTAGCGATTTTAGTTGATTCTTTTTAAAAAATAATCGCTGCCATTAAAATTTTAGGGTTAAGGACCAAATTGATCACAATTTATGATACATAAAGGATCATTTCCATCAAATCCATATATTAAGGACCAAATGGAATCAAAGCCCATACATTAAGGACCAAATGGAATCAAAGCCCATACATTAAGGACCATTTTGATCATTTTCTCCTTCTATAAAACCCTGAGGACCAAATTCCCAAATCTGCTAAACCTTAACCGCGACTTCATTGTCGTTCTTCTTCACTCATACTGTCCGAAGCTGTGCGGTTTGTGGTGGCGGCGCTGCTTATCTTCAACGGCAAAAAGGTGTCTTTCACTATTCTAAAAACTCACAAATTGCTTTTCAGTTTTCATAATTCGTTTATGGTTGTTTATGCTCTTTTTTTTCCCGCGTTTTTATCTCCAAATTCTGCTGCTACTGCTTTGGTGATGCTTTGAAATACTACAAATTGGGTTTTATACTTGTAAAAATTGAAGCTTTCCTTTAGCTACAATAAACAACAGTTCAACAAAAAATATTTTCCCTCTATTTTAAGCTATAATGGTAGCTTAGTCTCTTTTCTTGATAAAATAAATTATTTAGAAGAGGTATAAAAATAAACAGTGAAGAACAAAGAAAACATGTGATTCCTAAATATGATTACAAATAAGGAGAACAGAGGGGAGGTTTCTACCACATGAAATGTGACAGGATTCCCTACCTACTAACCTTTTGCCTCAATCCTCCACAAAGAAAATAGAAATTCACAGAAAGACCTTTGTGTAAATCAAATTATTTATTTTCTTTAATAATTATGGTGTCTAAAGCACGGACCTCGATTGATTCCCCCACTAGCATAGGTACTGGGTAACGGACCTCTATTGATTCCATGTGGTATCTGCCACCCCCACCAGCATAGGTACTAGGTAACTCTATCCACCAAGGCTTGGATAGATGGACAGGATTCAACCAGTGTTTTTGCCTTTGATTGGATTTGAACCTAAGACCTTATGGTTCCCAACGTAAGCGAACCCTCTTGGATGCCAAAGAATTTCCTAAGCATTCTTTTGCATGCAATTTTCATGTTGTACTTGAATTGTGGAAGAGCTAAAGAACTTTGTTTCACGGAAGCCTAAAGTTTTGTTATCCATTTCTTTTTAGTTTTTACTTATTTGTTTATTTATTTTTTTGCACCCGAAGTTAATTGGAGATCTCACTTAGATGGAAATCAAGGCAGATGGAAGTGATGGATCGTTGGTTTTAATCAAGCAAGGAGCTGAGGCTGTGAGTTTATGTTTAATTCACTATTGTGTTTCTATAAAACTTTCCTGTAATATTTCTGATCTTTTTCTCTCATTTTCTTTTGGAAAGATTTCGCATGTGCGTGTGTCTTTTGTATAGTTTATGAGTTAATAATAATTTGTACTACTGTTTCTACCAATGTTCATTTGATGGCAAGTAGTTGTTGACTCTAGAATTTCTGTAACATTTTATCTTGTTTCTCTGTTGAGGATATCAGAGGGTATTTGAGTCAACATTTGTGGGTAGTAGAAGGTGTATTATCAAGGAACGGTTTTCAAAGAAATACAGGCATCCAACTTTGGATTCAAAGCTCACTCTTAAACGGTTGAATGCGGTCGGTATAAATGATACCTACTCTTTCCTTTAATCTTTCTTAAACCTTGTGTTGCTTAAAGAAATATTGAAATCTTGGCACAGGAGGCAAGGTGCATGACAAAAGCTAGACGGCTTGGTGTTGTTACTCCAGTGTTGTATGCTGTTGACACTGTTATGCATACTCTCACCTTCGAATATGTTGAAGGTCCTTCTGTGAAAGATATATTGCTTGGCTTTGGACTAGTTGGAGTTGACGAAGAACAGATGGCTGATATTACAGCACAGATTGGTAATGCTATTGGAAAACTTCACGATGGTGGCCTAGTCCATGGCGATTTGACAACATCAAACATGTTACTGAGGAGTTCTGCCAATCAGCTGGTGAACTTTTTCTCTCTCTTTTAGAATGTTCCTCTAGCTCTCATGATTGACTTTGTCTTCAATTTCTTTCTTTATTTGCCTTTTTCTCTTGGTTTTGGAGGATGAAGTTCTTAAGTCACCCTCAATGCGTTTATTTGTCTATCACCTGATACTTTTTCTCCAGGTGCTGATTGACTTTGGTCTAAGCTTTACTTCAACTCTTCCAGAAGATAAAGCAGTTGATTTATATGTACTAGAACGTGCTTTACTCTCTATGCACTCTTCTTGTGGAAATGTGGTAAGCTCCGTCATATCTACTGCTTTGTGAGTTACAGGCATGTATAAAGCTGTTTGAAGCTTTTTGTTCTTCTCTATTCCCTCTTTTTAAAATTATAATTTCTTTCAGGCAAATGATGTTAATTTCTTCTTTAAAATTAATCTTCTTTTTGCCTTTGGGCATTATATGATTCGTGTCATGTGATCATATTATTGCGGAAAACATGCACCTCTTCTCAGAAACAGTATTTTTTATGTCATTATGTTCTCTACTTCTCTCGGTTCTCTTTTTCTCATATTCATCTTGTATGGCTTATATGGTTATTACAGATGGACCGGATACTTGCTGCATATAGGAAGTCCTCAAAGCAGTGGTCATCAACCTTGAACAAGCTAGCCGAAGGTGCTGCCGACTCTTCATACATGTCCCTTTCTGTTTATTACCTTGTTATTCCCAGAAAGAAGAAATAGCATGGTTTTAATTCCGATGGTTTCTTTCTGTTTTTGTAACTTATTTTAGTGAGGCAAAGAGGAAGAAAGCGCACAATGGTTGGTTGAGCTTCTCCAGTTCTGCACTCTACGTTGAGGTTGGACTTGTCTCTATGCTTTCAACTGCATCCAGTATGATTTTTTTTTAATTTCCAGAATGTAATAGTGTCAAATTCCCATGTTTTCGTGCCAAAAGCACAGTGTCTTGCTTGTGCCCACTCTTTTTTGGACTCGCTGCTATCCTATATATAGTTAATTTCTATGAAGTAATCATTCACCATGTTTTCTTGGAGATGAGGTGTCGGATATCATGGTTATGTGGCCTATTTGTTTTCTTAGTACAACTGGATTCATTCACATACTCCCTGCCTTTCTGTGCCCTGTTCTCTTTTTGCTGGTAGTCTGAACATTGGTAGTGTTGCAGACGATGATGTAACATGAAAATCTTCAGATATATTGAAGACATCAAGCTCATTGAACATAGCAGTTATAAGTTATAGAACAATGTGCTTATGTTTTTCACTCAGAGCGGCAAATAGTCTATATAAGTTGTATCCGGGTCTTTACTGTATGTTCATCTGCTTTAAAAACTGCATTATTTACTGTACATTTATGATTTACATGAATAAGTTGTCTATACATTCCTAGCATACATTTGTTGATTTGGGAGCTGTCTCTAATAGTTTGTAAATGATTTTCAGTGAAAACATCAGATGCCATGGGGCAGGAGAAACCGAAAAACTTGCTTATTGCAAAGACCAATCTGTATTTGTTGCAGTCTTGATTATTGATAGATGCTACCCATGTTACTTGTTTGAAGTTGCTTTGTATCTACTATTCTCTGCATTCTTATTCAACTCTGGCCATCTGGCCCGCCCAATGATTATTTCTTTTCTTTTTTCGTAAACATAGTTCAAATGGATAGTAATAGTTATGAGTTCAGTTGAACCTATGTACCATATGTCCTAAATGTGCATTTGGGCCTTGACCCCACATTGTGTGAACCGTCCAAGTTACCGAAATCTATTTGAAAATAATTAAAGGTCTTTTTGTCACCAATTTCAAAACAATGAAGAATGACAGGGAGATCAACAGGATTTTGGTGGGATGAGTATTAAGAGTCTCGAGTTTGATCTTGGATATTGAAAAAATCTTGTAAGAGAACGCTTCCCCCTCAATGTGAACTAGGTTTAGTCGAGGGCTCAATATGAATATAATAATTGATAGAGGAGTTTAAATTAAAAGCAATTCCTAATTTGTGTGTCTCTACTCCTTACCGAAGAAATAACAAAAGAAGTAGCAAGTACACAAAATGATCAAATATAGTGAATGTGACTCTTTTTCTAATTCTGCTTCCTCAACCATGGCTGGCTCAACTTTCTGCAACAAGTAATTAAATGGATATGGATTACCAAATTTAATGATATTAATATATAGTTTCGTTTTAATTCACTATAATTTCATCACTATAAACACGCTAACTTCTTGATCCATCGATTGTCGCACAGAATCACGATGCCCCCCAGAGTTTTCCCTCCGTTACTCTTATGTATTTTGCTAATCTGTTATTCATATTAAGGATGTATGAATGATCATCGATGAATTTTTTTGTATAAATCTTTCTTTTTAATATGTATTAAGAGTTTTATGCTACGCATGCATAATATAAAAAGTTACAAATATTTTAAATCTTTTAAGGTAAGTAATCAACACTACATAGAAATATAATATTCAAGCAAAATAGGGTAAATAGTAATCAGTAGTGCTACTTATTTTCTCTACCGCTAACCATCTTTATGTTAAGTAACTATAGAGCAAAAAGTTTCAATGAATCTAGACATATTGTGAACCTAAACAAGTTTAATCATAACTTGGTGTTTGAAATCTACTAATCTAGATCCGCAACATACAAAACTTATCTTGAGTCAAGTTATCAACTCACCCTTCGACCATAACAGATTGATTATTACTCCTAGTTTATTTTCTAAATTTTCATATACTTACAACTTAAAAGCAACATGTAAATTCAATCGATCTTACAATATAGGAGTACGTACTAGTAGTAGTAAAACATTAAAAAGCATTAACCAGACAAAATAAATAGAATTTTCTCAAACGATAAAATAACATAGATTTCATATCCGGCGTTCAAATGTTACAGAGTACAATTGATGACCTATTGTAAACAAACACAACTACTTATATTTATTATACAAGACGGACACATTCATTTCATCTTGCTAGAAAATATAAAATTTTAGATATGATATATAGATAACCTATATATAAGCCAATGGTACATAACGTACAATTAACTTATCACAAAAACCAACAGCCAATATTGCACATATATTAACCCTCCTTCAGCATGAGCTAGTAATTAATTATTTCTCCACCTTTTCCCCTGATTCTTTCATTTTCTTCTCCTCCAATTCTTCTTCCAAATCCATCTGAACTTGACGACATTCCTCTGTGCAGTATGGATTTGAACTGTGTTCAATCAAAACATAAAATTTAACAAATATATTAAAATAAAACAAAATAAGAAATAATTAATGACAAGTGAGATCAAAGATGTGTAGAAGTTTGACAAAATTTTAGGCTTGGATTATATTCTTACGTCCATTTCAATTTTTGTGATAATATTCGATGTTATGTTGAACTACTTAAGTTTTTGTGTGTATTCCAAAAGAATTTTTAAATTATATCTATACAAAATTATATAACTCATAATCGTTAATGATTTAAAGTAGTACCACATATGGGAGAAATGGGAGTACGTAGTACTATATGTATGTATACATATTTGATTAAAATTCTGAATTCACCGCTCCATAAAATATATAGATCCAAGCAAAACGAATTTTTGTTAGGGTGGTTGGGTTGGTCGAAACTATCAGCACGGCTAACTCGAGAACGTTTAGACATTATAGTGTTTAAGATTTTACAACTAGTACTGTTGGAAGTGAAGAACAAAGGTTGTACAAATGCCACTATTTATATCATTATATGGTAAGTTTGGTCTTCTCATTTTATTTTTAGTCCACAAAATGTGTTGACTAACGTCAATTTTGGTCAATTGTCAAGTATGTATATCTGATTATATAGCCATTAATTGAAAGAATTATGTAGATTTTATTACTTATTAATTATTCTATAGAAAGAATGTGGGTAAAAACTTAGCATGTGAAGTATAAGATATTTACACCAAACTAGTAGATGTTTTATGTACTTATACATACATTACTTATCTTAATTATCTAATCATAGTTAATGCATACATATTTTCACTACATCAAAATATCTAAGGAAAAAAATATAAAAACATATTTAAATTATATATGGTAAAATTATCAGTTACATACCTAAACTATGTGGGATAGAGTTTCATTTACTTTAACATGTAGTAAGTTGAATTAATTGGATGTGAATATCTTATGGTAATATATATTTATGTATAAATGTATGTGTGTTAAGGTAAGTTCATTTATATGTTTACTCTATCAATTATTGATTGATTTCAGTTCTAGTTAATTGTGGAGTAAATATCTTATGCCAATAAATATTTATCCATATATGTATGTATGGAAAGTTTTTAGATATATTTACTTCATGAATTATTGACTGATTTTAGTTCTGGTCAATTGTAGTATCTGATTACACACCATAATTTTGAATGGATTTTTTCTCCAATTGAAACATTTTCGTAAATTTAATGAATTATTAGTTATTCTATGTGTTGACATCGAGGGCGTAACGTCGCGGTGACTCAATTTTAAAAAGAAATAAAAGGGGGTAAAAGGGATAAAACAATGAAAAGGGAGTCGCCACCTAATTTTAAGGAAAACTAGGAAACCAATTAATAAATTAACTTTTAAAAAATTATCTACGAAACCAATAGATTCTAGGTAAGAGGTTTAGGTTATTCCGAAGGAAAGGGGTTAGACATCCTTCGAAATCCACAAATGTGGGTCCCGATTGAATTCATTTTTTTCAAATTCAGGAGGAGAATAAAATAATGTACAAGTATAATAAACATGCAATATATACAAGTAATATGATAAAATAATAATATAGAAATCGGCCTAAATTTGCCTACCGTCAATAATATACAATAATGAATAAGAGTATAATTTGAACATAATTAGAATAGCTTCAATGGGAAACAACTCTATGTACCTGTAAAAACACTTAGTAAAAGTGTTAGTAATAAATAAACATGAATAAAATAATGTTCGATCTTTTATATTAATGAGAAATAAAGGTTTTATTTTTTCGAACAGACATATGACTTTTGTGTATAGGCACTCTACCGCTTTTTTTTATTAAAAGAAAAAAAACACCCAAGTTCGCCCAAACATCAAGTTTCTCTTCTTCTCTCTCTTTTTTCCGCATTGTTTTAAAATAATTTGCTTTAGCTTTTGCATTCGATGCCGGCAGAGTTTGAGATACTACTGTTTCGGTGGAAATTCATTCTATCTTGAAAGAAAGTATCATTAAACTTTAAATACCAGATTAAGTTTTATTTTATGTTAATAATTTTTATAGTCATTTTACTTTCTGCTTGTGTGACACCAAAATCTTCATGATTTTCTATTTCTATTATGGAGACTAAAATTCTTGTGATTTTCTACTCCGATTTGTTACTTGATTTAAAAATATCAAAACAACATCATTTTATTAAATGTGATTAAAGATACAGAAAACTGAACAAATGATGCATACATGCGATCATACTAAATAAAAATACTATCTAACTCGAATTCAAAAAATAATTAAAGATAAAACAACCTCAATTATTTACCATACATTTAATTTGTTGATGGTAAATTGGTAATTAATACAAACACATGTAGATCTAATATTATATTTATACGTAGTAATAGTATGCCTTTCTCCTATTCATGAAATCAAACACGATCTTATGATTCGCAAGCTAATTAAACAAAGGAATATTAGTGTCTAGATAAAGGAAAGAATGATTATGGATATACATAGAAATCAGACTTGATCACCCCCAACCCACCCCAATTAATTTTATTTTTTTTTAAAAAAAATTAGTCTAGATTTTTTAATATTATGGTGGATAATAATTTGATATTTTATATATGTAGATTATGGACCAAACCTATCGATAAAGGTATCTACACTATCAAGAGGTACAATTGAAAGATTCATTAGATCGACTATACTTTGTAATTTGTTTTGAATTAGCCTTTTGAAGTATGAAGGGACAACACATAAATAGTTAGTTCATTGTACTGAAGGGATTATTTTTTTAGCGTATAGAGAACTTGCATGATGAGTTATAATTTTGAATAAAGAAAAATGTTTTAACAAATGTTTTATGTATTTTATTTAGTATTAATTTCATATATTATATTTTTGGATTTACTCGAAAAATCCACTTCAAAGAAAGGGTCGAATCATAAAATAAAAAAGAAAAATATAGTGTTTTAATGACACCAGACAATGTTTTGATGAAGCCAGTGTGGTTAATCATATGAAAAAAGAGGTCAATTGTTTAAAATTTGAAGACTCGTACTATCAAAAAGATGACACTACTAATATAGTGGAAATTGGATCCAACTTTTGCATCCCGAGGCCAGATCATCTTGATGATTGATCAATGGTCAATTATTTTGAGGGTCTATTTTTTTTTATCTTTACGTAGTTGAATTTTTTTTTGTTTTGTTTCAATTTATCAAAAAGATACACTGCTAATATAGTGGAAATTGAATCCAACTTTTGCATCTTAGATCATCCTGATGATTGATCGATGATCAATTATTTTGAGGGCCTATTCTTTTATTTTTTATCTTTACGTAATTACATTTATTTTCTTTCTCTGTTTCAATTTATGTGACATAATTTTATTTGTGACAAAGTATATGAATTCAAATTTTAGATCCAATTGGTTTAAATTAAAGTTGTGAACTCATATATGGCACACATCCTTGATTGGTGCTCGTTGACTTACTTTTGAAGGAGGAGGAGAGACTAGAGAGCATACTTTTAACTAAAATTTTCCAAATTATCCACAAGTTGACTAATTTTCCAATGGCTACAACTTAAATAGCACGGTGAAAACTGGCTAACAGGTACAATTCTTACCATTAAAACATGAGACAGCCCACCTTTAGTCCAATGGGCTTTCTTGTTTTCTACCCACGATTAGGCGGCCCATGTGCTATGGGCTCATGAAATACATACGACGCCATTGTAATGGCAGCTTGTGCTTTTGAATACGGCGCTCCTTACCCTAAACCCTACTCTGCTGTGTTTTCAATTTCTTCAGCACAATGAAGCTCGTCAGGTACATCTTCAATTTTTATTCTCTGTGAGTTATATCTAGTGATCTTAGCCAAGGATTTAACTTTAACTTTAACTGTCTGTTCAGATTTTTGATGAAGCTGAACAACGAGACTGTCTCAATTGAGCTCAAAAACGGAACCGTTGTTCATGGAACCATTACAGGTCACTCTCTCTAACTTTCTATCAATTTCTTCGGATTTTTTGTTATCAGTATATATTCTGTATTGCTATATTTACGTATTAGGTATGACCTTTGTAAAGTCTGAAATGAACAATCTGAACTTAGGTAATAGCTGAATTGCTCACACTATGTAAATTAAAGAATGGGCTGTATGAATTTGATTTTCTTCGGAAGAGAAGTTATTTGGAAGTGTCGCTAACTGAAAGTGTAGTTGCTGGGTGGGATATGCAAGTTGCTAAACAGAATTTGGCTAATAGGACAAGTTAATTAGTTCATAGCAGACAAAAAGCGAAGCGATCCGCTTCGCTTTCTGCCTATTTGGGTGCATTTCAGAAAATAGAAACACTAGTTTGTATGTATTTTTACAAATACTTCGAGTCAGACTAGAGACTGAAGCGGAAGAGTAGAAGATGGCCTGAGACTGAGAGAAGGCGGCCTCTCTCGGGCTCGGGAAAGACAATTTGGCCGAGAGTGTTGTGTTATTGTTATGAGTGTTGTGTTAACTGCAATAGCTTACTTCATTCTCCTTCACTTTTGAATCCTAAATCAACTGCCCCTAAGTTCCACAAGAAGTTCTTAAAGTCTTTAAAAGAAGCCACTTCTCGACTTCTACCTCCTACCTTTTCTGAGTTGTCCAAAATATCATTAAAATCTCCAACTATGATCCAGAGAGGACCCCAATTAGCCAATTTTAACCCTAGTTCTGTTAGTTGTGCTCTACGAATAACTCTATCCGTGCTCAAATACACAAAGATGCACCAATATTTAGAATCAGTTAAGAGGTCATGCACGAAAGTTTCAACATAAAAATGTGAAGTGTGAGATTGACAAACCTGAACATCATCATTCCAAAATAAGCTTAAGCCTCCCGATAAACCAACAGGGTCCACAATTATAGCATAAGGCATATTAAGTTGCCTCTGAACTCGCTTAACAATAATATCCTTATTTTTGCTTTCACTAAGAAAAATTATATTTGGGGAGTGGAGCTGCATAGTCTCCTTCAAAAAAGGAGCTGTCAAGGACCCCCCCAGGCCTCGACAATTCCATACCATTGCCCTCATTGTGGAGAGGGAAGCCATTTGGGGCTGGCCTCCCGCTCCACCACAATTTTGTTCTTTTTTGTTTTTATATCAGAAATTAACACAGTATCACCCTTACGTTTCTCCCTTATATATTGCATGCATTCTGCTAAAACAGAACCCTCATCAAGAGTTGCATTAGAAATATCATTCTTCAAACTAACAGAACATCCAACTTGTCTGGCCATTCGTTTCCAATTTCTCGTTTTCCTCCCCTCATTGTTACTATCTTTCATTTTTTTAGATTATTTTGTTCTGTTATAGGTTCATATGATAATACTTGAGACGAGTCTTTACTGCTATATATCATATGATCAGTAGTACATACCTGGTCATTGTCTTCTTGTTCAGTAGTTGTTTTGGTGTTGACGTCCATCTTTTCAGGAGCTGTGAGAACTTGATGTATGTTGTCTTGCACTTCCTTTGAGTTAATCTGCGTAATATCATCCTTTCCCCTTGTTGTGCCGTCGAACATATTCTCATTAATTAGAGTTTGTGAGCTCATGTCATTCTTCTTCGAAGCCATATTCAAGCCCTGTTTTGAGATTGTTGTAATCCCCACATAATTTTCTTCTCCAGCGTTAATTCTTGAGCTCATGTCATTCTTCTTCGAAGCCATATTCAAGCCCTGTTTTGAGATTATTGTAATCCCCACATAATTTTCTTCTCCAGCGTTAATTCTTTCTCATGTGATCCATAGTTTGTGACCTCCATAGGTTGCATTTGGTTTAAGTCCTCCCTATTTAGTACATCGTTATCCTTTCTGCTCAAACCCGTAATTTCCTTCCCTTTTGGTTCATTTTGACCCTGTGTATGAGCTACTTCTGCACCCTTTTCCAGGTGCTGCATACTGTTTACAGTTCCTTCAACTCTTCTCCCATTAACCACTGGACTTCCATTAATACTGTTTATCCCTTGTTGCCTACGCTTTTCCGAGAAGAGAACATGGTTCTCTGCTTTTAGCCAAATCCCAAATTGATCAGTTTTAACTGTGCCATGTGTACATCCTTGGCTCTGTGGACACATGTTTTATCATTATGTCCTAGCAGACCACAATAATAGCACACGTAAGGCAGATTCTCGTATCTTATTTCAACCCATGTAGTTTCCGATCCTAACTTGATCAACTTACCCCTAGGTAGTGGCTTAGTAATATTCATCCTGGCTTTCAACCTTATATATTGTCCCTCTTTGCTTCCATTTTCAGGGATTGCGATATCCACAATACCTCCCAACGCACATCCAATTTTGCACCCAACGTCCATTGACATCCAGTGTAAAGGAATGTTCCAAACTTGAACCCATAAATCACATACATTAAAAGTTGAAGAAGTACTCTTCAATCCTGGTTCCCATTTATGTATATTAAGGAGAAATTTATCATACAGCCATGGTGTGCCGAATAAAACTTTATCCATACTTTCTTTTTCTTTGAATTTGAACTGGAAAAAATTCCATCCGATTTCCTTTATTTGCAGTCCTGCTGGATTTCCCCAAGCCACCGGCATAGTGTTCTTGACGCCTTGGAGATTCACTTTCTTATCCGAGACGACCTTACCAAACAGACTTACCTCACAATCATTTGTGCTCGACAGAACATCCGAAATTTCAATTGACACAGTCTCCTTTTCTTCCTCCGTAAGAGCAAACTGATGAAATCTTTCAATAATTTCTTCCGCCATCTCTACAATTGTCTGATTTACCTTTCAAGAGGGGTTGGATTGACACTCACCGTAGCCTAATTGCAGTGAAATTTGAGAGTTTTTGATTGTTGAAAATTATTTAGGGTTTAAGATAGCACCTGGAAAACCTAAACTTGATAGGAGAAGAGGATTCAAGGCAGAGTTTGGCAGATTTGTGAGGTTAGGAATAGTTGTTTGATGGCATGTTTTTTTCCCCAACATTTTGAAAAAAAAAATATTTATTTCTTTACCCCCCTCCCCCCCAAAAAAATAAAATAATAAATATTGTAACTTGGTTGTCTGGCAGTAGAGATGCTACTTAGCAATGGTTTCTTAATGAACTTAGGTAGGCTTCTTATGGCAATAGTCAGGGCCTATGCTGGTTGCAGGATGCATCGAAAGTACCATTGGCAAGAAGGGCAGCAATGATGAGTGGTGCCCTTTGCGTTCTTCCTCCTTTACCCCCCCACCCCCAAATCCTCAAAAAAAAAGAGAGAAGGAAACACGAGAGCATTTTTCTTGTGAAATGAAAAAGAAGAGGTGATAGAAGAAACAAAAACTGTTGTCGTGCGAAATAGGACATGCACCATCCAAATTCGCGTGGAAGCTTAGTTGATGGCTATCTCTGCATTGCAAAGTTATCTCCGTTTTAGACCAGCAGAGTAGTTTTACAAATACTGTCCTATCCTCATATTTAGAGACCTGTATGCATTTTTTCTTTTTTCTGTTGGTTGTCCTTTGCATGCTTCTGATTTACTCTGTGAGGGGTTGCCTATACTAACAGACAATTGCTGGATATATCTGGGATGTATAAATATATTTTTGATCATATCAGTACGTATTTTGGTATTAACTAGGTACAATGGCTATTAAATCCATCTTTTTACCGACTTTACGAAATTGAGAGCTGTGACTTAACGTTTCTAAAGGGAGTTATATTTTTATAGGTGTGGATGTTAGCATGAACACACATCTGAAGGCTGTCAAAATTACGCTAAAAGGAAAGAATCCAGTGACGTTGGATCACCTGAGTGTGAGGGGTAACAACATCCGTTATTACATCCTCCCTGACAGCTTAAATCTTGAGACGCTACTGGTGGAAGAAACACCTAGGGTGAAGCCAAAGAAGCCAACAGCTGGTATTGTTAAGGACTTCGTTCAGATGTTTTTGTGCCTTTTGGGTGTATGGTTAAATTTCCTTATTGCTTGGACATCCTTCTAATATACTCTTCCTTTGATTGTTCCTCTTCAGGAAAGCCTATGGGACGTGGTCGTGGGCGCGGTCGTGGGCGTGGACGTGGTCGAGGCCGCTAAATGCATTCCAGCTGCTCTAATTTTTTACAGTCTTGCCTATGTAAACATATGTACGGATTGAGAGATTTGCTCTTGGTTTTTCCCAGTAGAAAAAAGATGGATCTGATGCAACAATTTATTTTGGATCTTTGAAGTGAGGAGCATGTTATCTCGTTGCATCATATTGTCTGCTAACATTACTTTCTTATCGCTTTCGATTTTGTTCTGCCTCGTCAAGTTACTCAACTAAATTGGTCACTTTTGCATCTACTCAGAATAGAGTGGCAAACTATTACATTTGGACCAAATCGGGAATTGAAATAAATATTACAGTAAGTTTGATGATCAGTGATATAAAGATTGAACCCAGGAATCGTTGAAACTCCCATCAAATTGGGTTTAAACTTATAAAGTATAAGTTTCATAAATCGTTTATGGGGTTTGAAACTCCAGCAAAATTGAAGTCTCAGTGAATTGGTCTTGGGTTCCACACTTCAACTTATCAAAGTTGTGAAATTATTCCTTGTCTTAGTTTTTGTCCAAAATTGTTTTCGTAACAAAAGCGTGATTAAATAGTTTTTAAATATAAATGAACGTTGATATGAATGGCTATTTATCAAATTTTTCCGTAATTGGAGGCCCCAAGTAATCGGGCCCAATTAGAATCTTAATTGTATCCTCTTCTGGTCATAGTTAGGCCCCATTTAATTTTTTTTTGATGTCCCACCATATATCTGACGCCTGCTCGACTAAATCTGGGCATTAAACTCATTTGGAGTGGCACAATTTTCACCCAATATTAAATCTTTTTGTGTCGATATTTGACAATTCGGCATTGTGGGTGAATTTACACGTCTTCGTTTATTAGGTGTATTAATCAATACTCATTTCTAACCTCCGGTACCAATTATTTAATTAACAACAAATCCGGCTCATACAACATTTAACTGCTGGTATTAATGTAATGAAATAATATTTGCATGTAAAGGCGAGAAATTATGAATTTAGAGAGAGAATGAAGTGAAATTTGTTGACATCCCACGTTCCCATATATTCTCTCTTAAGCCTCACGGCGGCCTTGTACCCTTTTCCGCCACAAATCTTTGGTATTTCCCTCTGTTGTCGGTTTCTTCAAAAACTCTTTTCTTTTTCTTTCACCAGTAGAAGAAGAAGATTAAAAACTCACTAATTATTGCTCTACTGAAGCAATAAGTAAGTGTAAAATGCATTTTCTCCTGGTCCCCATTTGCCATTTTAGACTACTTCTTGTTTGTCTTTAATTTTGTCCATACAAGACCCCGCCTCATCATCATCAACATCTTCCTCAACTCTTTTACTCTCTCTCTCTCTCTCTCTCTCTCTCTCTAATGAAAGCCCCACCTAGCTGTATTCAACTTAGAAGATTTGTGTGTGAACACATCTTCTCAAAACAATAACCCTCCAAATTTTTTTTCAATTTTTATGGTTTTCCAAGACTTGCTTTTGATAGTATTGTTTTCTCCATCCCAAGACTGGATTTTTTTCTCTACACCCACTACTACTTCTTTAGTCTAAAGCAGAGATAAGTGAAAACCCATCTCCCATATTCTTCCACTTGAAGATTTTCAAGAAAACCCTTCACCAGGTGTTCTTGGCTGCTTCTTTTTCACTGTTTGCTTATTCTTGTGTCTCTTCTTGTTGGATTATAGTACAGTGAACAAAGTGCCTCGGTTGCATCAGCCATCCTTGTTTGCTACTTGGATTGGGATAAATGGATCATCTTTGCCGTATAACAAGAGTGAAACAGTTGATTTCTTGGGAAAAGATGCAGAAAGTTGTGATATTTTCGATGGAAATTGGGTTAGGGATGAAAGTTTTCCACTTCATGAATCAAAGGATTGTAATTTATTGGATGAAGGCTTTCGTTGTTCTGAAAATGGTAGGCCTGACAATTTCTATACTAAATGGCGTTGGCAACCTAAAGATTGCAACTTGCCCAGGTTAATTCTTCTTCTGATAGTGACTACTATATACTGTGTTTAGTTTCTGCTGGTAATTTAACTAAAGAATTTAAGAGAGAAGAAAGTGAATGGATTACTTCAACACTTTAGGCTTTCATATGATGTGTTTTTCTTGCATACCATTTGCTACTGATTTTAGCTGATTAAGATTTTAATCATTGAACTTAGTTATATACACTGACACTGCACAATATTGTTGCACAATTTGAGTGGTTACATCAGGTTCTCATTCAATTTTATCTAATGGTGTGTAAAAAAACATATAGAACTTAACTCTTACTATATTGGCTCTCATTGAGCATCGTCTAAAGTTGTTAACTTGATGCTTTAATTTTTCATTGTTATTCTTGAGAAGACTTTGTGCTTAGTAGGGTAATTTTTCATTGTTATTCTTGAGAAGACTTTGTGCTTAGTAGGGGAGAGCTTTTCATAGTCTTTTCGATGATTATTGACTGCAAATTTTAGTCTTCTAATTACTCTTTTAAGCAGATTCGATGCAAAAACTATGTTAGAAAAGTTGCGAAACAGACGGGTTGTGTTTGTTGGAGATTCAATTGGAAGAAACCAGTGGGAGTCTCTACTCTGCATGTTATCTTCTGCAGTTCCTGACAAAAGCAAGATATATGAAGTTAATGGAAATCCTATCACGAAGCACATGGGTTTTTTGATTTTTAAGTTCAAGGATTTCAACTGCACTATTGAGTACTATAGAGCTCCATTCCTAGTGTTTCAAGGTCGTCCACCTTCACGGGCTCCCCGAAATGTTAAATTGACTCTGAGACTGGATCAAATGGTTTGGAGCTCTGCTCAATGGAAAGGGGCAGATGTTTTGGTATTCAACAGTGGTCACTGGTGGATTTATGAGAAAACTATTAGAGAGTAAGCTCTCTTTTCTTTCTTTTTCAATTTAAGCCCATACTTCTCTTGCTTGTTTACTGATAGAATGAATCTGCCAGAGCACTTTCTATTATATTTTTGTGTCAAGAACTCAAAGTCCTCACGAGTGACTACAAATAGATTATAGCCTGCTACTGTTAGTATCTTTTCATAATTACCAACACAGCGAAAAGTTGTATAAGGTACAAATTGTTGCGATAGTTGTGTATATTTCCCTTCTAGATTTTTGCATTTCAAAAATCTGTTTTAATTTAAAATCTGCAAAGATTGGTAAAACATAAAGAAAATAGTTAATCACTAAATGTGTAGTACATAGAGAAAACTAGCATTTAAAACCTACAAAGTTGTTGAGCTACTTTATGGCAAGGATTTTTCATGGAAAAGAATAGTATGCCTTAGAAGACCAAATAACTGATAACCATTAGCAAGCACCTCGGCTTCCGTGCACTTTACTTCTCTTCTTCTGCTCTCTTTGCACATAAAGGAAAAATGAACTAATGGGCGGGTAGAGAGGGCATAAACCTATGGGGTTTCCCCTCATTCATTGTCAGATATGCCCTGATGTTAAATTTGGCAGTGAAGCTAATTGATCTAAACTAGGTACCTTGAGTAGTGGATATGTAAGCACAATAAGTTTGACAGGGCAGAGACTGAAATGGTTCAGTAATGGACTCAGTTACTTTGCAGAAAATATAAGATTTTAAATTTGAAAGGTTATCATGCTATGGAGACCTAAAGGTGGTAAATTTAAATATCCGCAGATTGAAGCTCTAAAATATGTTCGAGCTCTTTCATTTGGCCTTTTTGTCTTAGACTTTAGGTTGGCCTTCCATCTGAAATTGAAAGGGTTTAGTGAGGTATGGGTAGTAGTTGTCGTTGGATTCTATGAACTAAACACTGCTACAACTATTATGTACTTGTAGGAATTTTTATTAGGAGAAAAGTAACCAGAATTGTTTCAGATAAGTATTGTCCTCATCACGTAAATTTTGTTCCTCAAGTTGTTTAGATGTGTTGCTTCCCACCACTAAGTGGTGCATTAATATTAAGCACTTTAAGCTTGGACATCAATGTTTGTTGCTTTTGTGAATCATAATCTTGATTACTGATAACCTAATATACTTGTGACTTATTGATTTTTGTACTTGATAGGGGATGTTACTTTCAACAAGGTGGAGAAGTCGATATGACGATGAATATTGAGACTGCATACAGGAGGTCAATATCGACATTGGTTGATTGGATAGGTCATGAAGTGAATATGACCAAGACACATGTCGTATTTCGGACTTATGCTCCTGTTCACTTTAGGTATGTCTTGGTCTTGATCTGTTAAATGAAGGCAACTTTTCATAAGGAAACATACTGGTAATAAATTTTGTTGAGATCTGTTGCTGAATACATCATATTACAAGTGTGAGGAAGAAATTTAGTCCAAAATGGTAATTTCAGTTTAAAAAGAAGCTGAGAAGGTTGACCCCTTGAGTTTTCTTCTAGTGGTTAAATAATGGTGTACAACAACAATAACATAACCTGTATAATGCCACAAATGGGGTCTGGGGAGGGTGGCGTGTACGCAAACCTTACCTCTGCCTTATGAAGAAATGGAGGCTATTTTTGAGACACCCTTGACTCGAGTAAAATAATTCAAAGCAAATTTGAAAAAGAAATACAGTGATGAAAAAACTAGAGAAAAGAACAATCATAACAACAAATAATACGAAGCAAAGGAGACAACTAGTGGTAATAAAAGTCACAAAGAGATATAGAAGAATAGTGATGATATTATCTGTATGGAAAACTAGATTGCGTTCGACTGTCCACAAACCCTCTACCTTAATCCCCAACCTCTATACCCAATCTAGGGTCATGTCCTCAGTAAGTTTCAGTAAGTTGCAGGAGTGTCAAGTCATGTCCGGACACCCCCCAATGCTTCTTCGGCCTACCTCTACCTTTCTTTGGACCCCCCATATCCAACCTTTCACACCTTCTCACTGGGATATTGGGGCATCTTCTTTTCACATGCTCAAACCATCTCAGCCTCACTTCTCTCATTTTGTCCACCATGGAGACCACAACTACCTTGTCTCTAATATCTTCGTTCCTAAAAGTATCTTTCCTAGTATGCCCGCATATCCATTTCACTCTCAGTATCCTCGTTCTGCAACTCATTTGTTGGATGTAAGAGTTCTTGACCTGCCAAAACTCCGCCCTATACAACATAGTTCGTCTAACCACCACATTATATAGCTTACAAGCTGCACAGTGTGTATACGCAAGTCTCTGTGTATTTCTACCCGAAATTGTATGTTTCCTTAGCTTTTACAGACGGTTTACGAAAATAATAAGTGAAATGTCCTCCACCCTAATTTTTCATAACTCATGACCTCCTCTTCCCCAACTCGTCTCTAAACATGCATATTCTGTGGCATTGATTATGTTCAAATTTCTAATTTCAAACATGGACATACAGCCCATCATTTGAATATAACACCGTGATCAATGTGCTGTCGGAGAAACAGAACAAATCAAAAACATGGAATTTGGATTTATTGAATGTAACAGGGATGACATTTCAGAGAAGATCTTTGTATTACTTAGGTCCCAAGGTTGGACCAGCTCCTCTCTACCGCCAAGACTGCAGCCACTGGTGCCTCCCCGGTGTCCCTGATACATGGAATTTTCCCAACAAACTTGTTAATCGCCCATGTGGCAGGTAAAGAGATCTTATAACCATGTTGCTCCAACATTTCAAATGTTACACCTCATAATGCCCTACTACGCTTGCAGTCTCATGGACTATAAGACGCGTACCTTGGAAAGGGAACTCGATTAGAAAAACCTCAAATTTTGTGCCAATGGTGAGTGGGATGTGCCCCTTTTAAAGATTTGTTTGGGGGATTCTTGTGGAATGAGTACTAAGAGTCTCGAGTTTGATCTTGGCTATTCTTGTAAGAGAACATCGCTTCCCCCTTAATGTGAACTAGGTTTAGTCGAGGGCTCAATATGAATATGAATATGAATATAATAATAATTGATACAAGTAGCACTAGAGGAGTTTTTTTAATTAAAAACAATTCCTAATTTTTGTGCGTCTCTACTCCTTCCCGAAGAAATAACAAAAGAAGTAGCAAGTACACAAAATGATCAAATATAGTCAATGTGACTCTTTTTCTAATTCAACGATTGCTGGCTCAACAACAACTTTCTGCAATAAGTGATTAAATGGATATGAATTACCAAATTTAATGATATTAATATATAGTTTCGTTTTAATTCACTATATATAATTTCATCACTATAAACACCTTAACTTCTTGTCCCACAGAATCACGATGCCACCAGAGTTTTCCCTCCGTTACTCTATCTCTATGTATTGCTTATCTGTTATTCATATTAAGGATGTATGAATGATCAACAAAGATTTTTTTTGCGACAAGTATATAAATCTTTCTTTTTTATATGTACAAGAGCTTTATGCTACGCATAATATAATAAGTTACAAATATTTTAAATCTACGCATAATATAATAAGTTACAAATATTTTAAATATTTCAAGGTAAGAAATCGATCGTTTCAATAAACAATGCTTAAGACATAGAAATATAATGTTCAAGCAAAATACGGTAAGTAGTACTACTTATTTTCTCTACCGCTAACCATCTTTATGTTAAGGTAAGTAACTATAGAGAAAAAAATTTCAATGAATCTAGACATATTGTGAACCTAAACAAGTTTAATCATATCTTTTCAATTTTCACACTTGGTGTTTGAAATCTACTAATCTAGATCCGCAAGAAAACTTAGACCCTATCATATCAAGTTATCAACTAACCCTTCGACCATAACAGATTGATTATTACTTTCAGTTTATTTTTTAAATTTTTGTATACTTACAACTTAAAAGGAACATGTAAATTTTACCTACTCAATCGATCTTACAATATAGGAGTACGTACTAGTAGTAGTAAAAAAATTAAAAAGCATTGACCAGAAAATTTTCTCAAACAATAAAATAACATAAATTTTCATACCCGATGTTCAAATGTTACAGAGTACAATTGATGACCTACAGTATGATTTTGTAAACAAACGCAACTACTAATTATATTTATAATACTAGACGGACCCATTCATTTCAACTTGCTAGAAAATATAAAATTTTAGATATGATATGATATATAGCCTATCTATAAGCCAATGGTACAAAAGTACAATTAACTTATCACAAAAACCAACAGCCAATATTGCTTCAGCATGAGCTAGTAATTAATTATTTCTCCACCTTTTTCCCTGATTCTTTCAATTGCTTCTCCTCCAATTCTTCATCTAAATCCATCTGAACTTGACGACATTCCTCTGTGCAGTATGGATTTGAACTGTGTTCAATCAAAACATAAAATTTAACAAATATATTAAAATAAAACAAAATAAGAAATAATGACAAGTGAGATATGTAGGAGTTTGACAAAATCTTAGGCTTCGAATGTATTTTTACGTCCATTTCAATTTTTGTGATAATATTTGATGTTATGTTGAACTACTTAAGTTTTTGTGTGTATTCCAAAAGAGTTTTTAAATTATATCTATACAAAATTTATATAACTCATAATCGTTAATGATTTAAAATAGTAGTACCACATAGGGGATAAATGGAACTATGGGTGTACACCACTTAGGGGATAAATGGAACTATGGGTGTACATAGTACTATATGTATGTATATATGTTTGATTAAAATTCTGAATTCACCGCTCTCCATAAAGTATATAGATCCAAGCAAAACGAGTGATGAATCAATCCAATCAAATGTATATAAATGAATTGACAAAAAAAAAAAAACGTACTTATACATGTAGGTGTCATTTTTCAGCTTGAGGATGGACTTGCAAACGAAGCACTCCTTGAGAAACTCACTGATATACTCCGTTGCTCCAACAGAAGAAGAGTCTGTTGCCGCAGCTGCAGCTGCGACAACATTATTAGCAAGACTAGAAGAAGGTGGCTTGGAAAACTTGGTTGGATTATTTGTAGAGGAATTTTTGTTAGGGTGATTGGGTTGGTCGAAACTATCAGCACGGCTAACTCGAGAACGTTTAGACATTATAGTTTTTAAGATTTTACAACTAGTACTGTTGGAAGTGAAGAACAAAGGTTGTACAAATGCCAATATTTATAAGGTAAGTTTGGTCTTCTCATTTTGTTTTTAGTCCACAAAATCTGTTGACTAACTTCAATTTTGGTCAATTGTGAAGTATGTATATCTGATTATATACCCATTCATTATATTTCTAAATTGAAAGAATTATGTAGATTTGATTACTTATTAATTATTCTATAGAAAGAATGTGGGTAAAAACTTAGCATGTGAAGTATAAGATATTTACACCAAACTAGTAGATGTTTTATATGTACTTATTATACATACATTACTTATATTAATTATCTACTCGAAGTTAATTAATACATATTTTCACTACATCAAATTAGTAGCTAGGAATAAAATATAGAAACACAGTTAAACTATATATGGTAAAATTATCAGTTACATACCTAAATTATGTGGGATAGAGTTTCATTTACTTAACATATAGTAAGTTGAATTAATTTGATGTGAATATCTTATGCTAATAAATAAATATTTATCTATAAATGTATGTGTGTTATGGTAAGTTCATTTATATGTTGACTCCATGAATTATTGACTGATTTCAGTTCTAGTCAATTGTATGATGTAAATATCTTATGCCAATAAATATTTATCCATATATGTATGCATGGAAAGTTTTTATATATATTTACTTTATGAATTATTGACTTATTTCAGTTCTGGTCAATTGTAGTATCTGATTACACACAATAACTTTGAATGAATTTTTTCTCCAATTGAAACATTTTCGTAAATTTAATGAATCATTAGTTATTCTACGTATATATTTTATAGTAAATTTATATTTTTAAATTAATTTATTTATTTTTCTTTTTAAAGTGGGTTAGCCCTGGCATAATACACAACTAATTACATAGCGATATCAAAATAATGGACAAATCCAGCGTGAGCCTCAAATTCTAGATCCATATGGGCTGGATGATCCATATTGATAACTCTACCTCACCTTCAAGTATTTCACATGTAAAATTTATCGCCTAACATAATCTAGATCTGCAATGTAGGAAATATGACCCTTCACCGTATCACTTTGTAAACCCTTCGTACTCAACAGATCATATTGTATGATTATCAAGTAATAGTTTTTCCTTAATTTTTGTGTGTTTGAACCTAAACGAAAGATGTTAAATTTACCTACTCAATTGATCTTACAAAAATTATACTGGTAATAAGAATTTAAATGACATTAATAGGAAGAAAAAAAAAAGAAATTTTGCCAAACTGTAAATAACATAGATTTCTCACACCACGATATTCAAATATTGCGATACAATTGATGACTTCTAGTATATATCATCTTGTAAACAGACACAACACTACTAATAATTTTGGACAAACCCATTAATTTAACTATAAAAGATAATTATTTTTTAGATACTATGATATAAAGCCTATAAACCATGGTACATAAAGTACAATTAACTTATAAATATATATTAGTCCTTGTTCATCATAAGCTTCTTATCAATTAATTATCCATCTTTTTCTTTGATGCCTCCAAACGCGTCTTCATTACATTTTCATCAAAAGCAATCTGAACTGCACGACATTCCTCCTGACAGAATGCAAGAGACCTGTGTTCAATCAAACCATGAATACAGAATAGTATTAGATTTCAATTATATTTAACTTCGTTTCAATTTATGTGATAGTGTTCGATAGCGGTGTACAAAATCAATCAAAAATCGAATCAAATTGAAAAAAAAAGCTGACTAATTGTATGGTTTGACTTGGTTTGATATTGAAAAAAAAAAAACCCGACTTATATACTTAGGTTGGTTTGGTTTTAACTAAAAAAAAAGTCAACCCGACATTATATATATATTTTATAAAATTTATTTTATACATAAAACTATTTACTTTGATTAATTTCTAATTATCACTTATACGTTTTCATAATCTTTATACGGCAGGGGCTCCAGTGTCCCAAAAGTATGACGGAGGGTATCTGCATACCATTTACGATAGTTCAGGGGTATATTTATCATTTTCCCTAATTTAAAATATTTGATTCTCTAATTACTAATCATTTATTAGAGGTCACAAAATTAACCCATGAAATCATAACTAGTCAACTCGCCCAAGTTTGATTGATTATTGACTCGTCCATTTCATCTTATTAAAATTATGTGATTGATTAATCAAATATTTTTTAAAAAGACGTTTTTTTAATTTGACGTTATATAAGTAAAATAACAAAACATATTAATTTTACTAATTCACCCTTTAAAAACATTTTGAAAATTTTCAAATAAATATGAACATTTTCAAAAATAATATATTTATTTATTTTTGCACATGTATTTTACATATAGTTATTAATGTATATTTTTCACTATATCAAATTATTGGAATATGACATAAAAATATATCTAAACAATGAAGAAATTATCAATTACAAACATAAGAAATTGAGTGGGTTTAATTTCGTGTAAATATCTTATGGGAACAAATATTTAGTTACGTATGTGTGCGGGTTATGCTAAAAAATATTTTTAAAAGATTTTTTAAATTGAATTGAGATTTTGAAAATAATTATTTAAATATTCTATAAAGTTCATGTTATTCGGAATTGAATTTCTCAATTATTAATAAGCCTGCAATTTTACTTTAATTTTATAATATATAGTTATAACAGTATAACACGCTTCTACTTAAAATTGGCCATAGTGTTTATTTTTTCGTATTTATACATTTGGACAAATGAGATCTACTTCGTGAACAATTTATAGTTGCCCATGGTTTTTTTTTTATAGTGAATATCAGTTATTAATATAATTATTCTATATACAAATAAAAAGGAGTTTATATTTTTACTTTATTAATAAATTTTGATAGTATATTACTCTAAACGTCTATGTACGTATCATGACTCAATTGTGGATAACCCCTGTATATTTCAAAATCAAACACCTTTATATATTTAGATAATGTTAAATCCCAAGTAATTTATGGATCATAGTAACTTAGTAAGTACTAATTTATTTATTTAGAAGTTGGGCTTGTTGTATTTTGTATACAGCGTCAAGCAGTTCTGCTTTCCCCTACCGATGATGTGCCGAGAAGTGCATTGATTCGCAGGGGGCCTCAGGCCCTACTTAGTTGACTGATAATGACAAAGGCTTGCGAAACTAAGTAGGGCCTTTTCCTTTTTGTTTGAATAACCCATTCTCATTATCTTTAATAAGTAAAGTAGGCAAACATATAGGTCCTTAGTAGCGTTGACAAAGAAGAAGGAGCCGATTAAAAAAAAGCGAATCTTTCCATTTTTCTTATAGTTTCTATTATATAATAATAGAAAATTTTGAATGAATGAATTAAAATGCGTTTCTTCTTTTCTGAAAGTTTCATAAAATCAAAATGTAAGATTTTCATTTTGATCATAAATCTCCTTCTTCTTTTTCTCACTTCAATTTGTTTTAATTATAATTACTTAGTTACAAACATATCTCCATGTACTTCATTATTTAATACCTCAACTTATATTCATAAAAAAATGCAGATGAGTAAGTATATGATTTAAAAAAATTTAGCATAGGCAAACACACATATCATAGGGATAAGGCACAACCGCACAAGTACCCCTTGATTATGACTGAAATGTCAGAGACACACCTTAATTAAATTAAGATCTTATTATTCTCCCCCCTCCCCCGACTAAACCAACTTTTTTGGTAATTTTATACACCTTTTTAACCTACGTAGCCTTCAAACATCTCTCACGCGTCTTTTCACTAATAAGAAGAGAATTAGTCCATGTAAAATTATTTGAAATAATTACTTCTAGGAATTACGATAAATAATTTGAGATGGAAGAATACAAAAGAAAAGAATTAGTTTATGACCGACATCGATAAAATATAATAATAAAAAAGTTTGTAGCTGACCAAATAATTTGTGACTAGACTCAAATTTCTGTTGCCACGTTATTACGTGAATGGGGTCAATGTCGCGAAAAAAAAAAAAATCAAACTGCGGCCATTAGTGTTAACACAGCTGTTTATTTGCTAAATGATTAAATAAAATAGAATACGTCGGCATATCAATTAAATCACTGTCACTAGTGGTCAAACAGTTGTTTATTTGCATTATTCGACGAAAAAAACAGTTTGTTGTTGACAATTAATTAGAGGCCACTTTCATGGTAATTAATCGTCATAGCCAAAAAGAGTAATCATCTATTTTCACAACTTATAATAATAATAATGACAAAGAACTCATCCAAATTATATATTTGGTGTGACCAAAAAACATAAACAAGCTCTTAAAACTGTTTTTTGTTTTCAGAAAGAAATATATGGCAAATATTTCTACTTGCTCCCTTCTCGTTGCTGCTGTTTTTCTAGGTAATACTAATTAACTAGACACACATGTTTTTTCATTATATTGTATTGTTGATTTTAATTTGTACTGGCTAGCTACCGCCTACACATATATAAATAGATAATTTCTCGTACGTTTATAATCCATCTTTAATTGTACTAGACGATTAATTAAGTTAGATGAAAGGAGAAGGTCTTCTTCGATCGATCCCTTTTATTCATGTTTAGTCCTTTTGTGTGCAAAACCCTGTTTAATTTTTCTTTCTTTCTTCAGAACTAATTTTTTGGAAAGCTACATCAAAATCTAAGACTCGTAGCTTTCTATTGTTGTCTTGATAGATCCATAATTAATCTTACAGTTCACTCTTTTCTTTTTTTTTTTTTGTCTACTCGGTGTTCGGCCCCGACTAAATTTGTATCGCTAGAGCCCTATCGGGTGTGGCAAGATTTTTTCCATATTCGAGGCTTGAACTCGAAATCTGATCTAGTTAACGGTGAAACAGTCCCACCACTGTACCACAACCCATGTTGGTCTTTACATATGAACTATAGAAAAAGGAATTGATTGTGATTTTGAACTTGTTCTTTCCATGTTGAGCTAATTAATCGAGAGTTTGTTAACCTGATTAGGAAAAAAGATTTTTATTTTTTTTATTCTATTTCAAGTGATGCTTCTTAATTAATTGTTAAAACATTAAACTTAGAGAGAAAAATCAATCAATTAATTAAAAGTGCATGATATTGATTATATATGATTTTAAATGCAGTTGGAATGATGATCCCATCAGAAATATTAGGACAAACATGCTACCAAATACACCCAGAAATATTGTGTGATGAAGGCAAAGTTGAACCGGAATGTTTACCTTTCTGCAATAACAAATTTGGACCCTCTGCTGGTGGCCAATGCATTGAGCAAATTGGCTTTAATGGCCCTTTTTGTGCATGTGAATATCCTTGCTAATCGATCTCTTTACTTTCAAATTTATCAATAAAGTGCAGTTACAATATTACTTATGTAGTTTTTGTTATAAATTAGATGATGTTAAGTTTTTCTTATATAATCTTTCCTTATGTAAAAGTGAAACTCCATATGAAGTTACTATATATGTAGTGATCTTATAATATATATGTAGTGATCTTATGTATAATATAATACTTTTTCTGCACTCTGGTTGTTGGAATAACAGTCATTAATATTTTATAATATTTGCTTGCTTTTCAAAAAATAGATTAAGCAGGTGCAACTCAAATTAAGATTTTATTGAATTTTGTAAATTACAATGAGCAGTGGAAAAGAAATTGATGAAGAGAAATACATTAATTAATTAATCCCACTGCTTTATTCTTCTTATGCTTTTTCTGCTCTTGTAGTCGTCCTCATGCATTAAGCCTTGAATTTAGGGAATTGAGCTGCAATAAAAAACAGAAGATGGTTGTGTAATCAACATTTTATATAAGTATTAAAAATAAGACGTATAAATAAATAATTACCAACGAAATCCTTCTTGGAGCAGTCTGCATCACACTTCATCTCACAAAAGGTATAACCTTGTCCTTGTTTATCTGTGCATTCATCGTGACATGTGTGATAGCAATCCTTGTACTCTTCTTCTGTCGCTTCACACACAACTGTAAATACAACCATGCACATCAGAAACACTGCTACAAGCTTTTCACCTTCCATTTTTTTCTTTTTTTATTTCTTTAACTTGTTTATTTTACAGTGTTTCCTTAATTGTAATGTTCATTCCCTACCCTATTTATACAATAATGTATACCTTAAACTGTGGAATTGTTTTGTGGATTTCCTCTTTCCTAGCACATCCATCTGTTTTTTTTGCTTAAATTAAGGTTGATTCAATGCTTGCTTCTCATGAGACTCGATCGTTACACTCTCTTTGTTAAAATATTCTTCTTCACGACTCAAATAATATTAATATGTGTATTGGTTGGCCAGTCAATTATAATTTATATATATATACATCAATTAGTATTTGTGATTGATTACATGTCAAGATTTATTAGAAGACGTTATATATGGATTCATACTTATCGGTATTTGTTGCAAATTTTGATAATATTATTACACATAAAGTATTGAGTTCAGCGGCATACGTCTTATAAGTATAATTTGTTTCTCTACAAAATTTAAAATTACTTTTTGAAATTTGTAGTTTTAAATTAAGCTTCCACCAACATTTATTTTGACTATGAAAAAAAAAAAAATCATTTTAGAGGTCAAATGAAAGTAATTTTTAACGAGCTTAACTTATTGACGGTGCAATGCAAGAACGTGTTGCAGTAAGTCACCCTTAATGTGCTCGTACACGTAACAATAAACATTTGTTGACAAACTTGTCCGTACAAAGACAGATTTTATTAGAAGAAAATTAAAATCTTTTCAAACAAATAATACTACAAATGGAAGATCACCTAATTAGGTAAACAGTTGTCAATTAGAATAATAGAATATAAGTCCTCATCATAAAGTAGATCTATTACTATTAGCTAACCATTCATTAGTTTAAAAGTTGGCCAACAAAAATACCTATATTTTCTTGTTCTTTTGTGCTAAAAACTTTGGTATATAAACCTCAATACCCTGTTCTTCCTCTTCATTCAAAACAACAACAACAACAACAACATACAATCAACCAATAATTTTCTTTTTCTTTTAGCCTCAAATTAAGAAAAATGGCATCCAAAATCAATGTAATGGCTCTAGTCATGGTTCTAATTGTGGCCATTAATTGGAATGGAGCTTTAGCTCAATCAAGTTGTATGACTACACTTGTAGGATTATCACCTTGTTTGAATTATGTTAGTGGAAATTCATCAACACCATCTTCATCTTGTTGCACATCACTATCTAGTGTTGTCCAATCCAATCCCCAATGCCTTTGTGTGTTGGTTAATGGTGGTGGTTCTAATCTTGGTATTGCTATTAATCAAACTCTTGCTCTAGGATTACCTAGTGCATGCAATTTACAAACTCCTCCTGCCAGCCGGTGCAATGGTAACATAATTTTTCATTCTATTGTCAAACCTCTCTACAACGTTTTTGTTTATCCATATATTTTTTGGCTGATATAATGAAATATTGCAATAATAAACATATAACACGACTCACAATGTAGAAGAAATTTTAATATTATTAGGTCATGTAAAAGATAATTACAAGTAACGTAAGAAATAATAGCTTTAAATATACTAACACTTGACGTTACTATCCTAGAATTTAGAACTCAGATAGTTCAAATCTTAGCTTCGCCTCCACATTGGCATAGTTATAGAAATTCTTTACATCATGAATACTTATAAGTTATAATGATTAAATAAATAACCTCTTACAACATATATTTGCATGTTTAATGAACTAGCTAACTGACTGTTTTGTGCATAAAAAAATATAGCTGCAAATGGACCAACAGGTTCAGCTGAAGTACCAGCAAGTTCTCCTGCAGGTTCAACTACCCCATCTGATTCCTCTAATGAAATCCCAGCAACTCCAGGTACTTCAAATAAAATATTTTATCATCTCTTGTACTATGATCATCTTTTACTTGACCTGATAGTATAAAAATTATTTTAATATTGTCAGTATACATAAGTCAAATTTGCGCAAATGTTTTCATTGATGTAGGTGCTACAGGTTCAAAAACAGTTCCTTCAACACCTGGATCATCATCATCATCTGCAGGAAGCAACTCAAAATTTTCTATCAGTACTTTAGCTGGGTTCCTACTGTTTGTTGCTTTGACCACCAGGGGATTCTGAAGTTTTTTGGAGAAAAAAAGTCATTTTTTATGTCAATGTTGTATTAAAATTACTGTTGTTATTATTCTTTTGGTTCCTCTGTTTTAGTGGGAGTGTCATACTGGTTGTAATTTACCTATATTATTTATTGTGACTTATTTAATTTTGAGTAATTCTCATGAGGGTTCTTTAATTTCTTTATCTTTTATCTTCTTGGCGAAATGTGGCTTCATAAACTATTTAACTGAATATGTTACATAACTACTTTAAAAAATATAGAATTTAGCGACGGACAAATTATATACTTTTGTTTAAGTCTAACGATGAATTTTATTAGCTATGAAGTAAAGTAACAAAAGTTGGTAACTAATTCTAATTTATTTTTTGCAAGTAACAAAATTAAATTTCTTAATAAAGAGTTCAATTTATCTATACCTATAAATAAATACCTAACACATAAAAGTTCAACATTTATACACTGATTAGGTTAGAACTGTTAAGGAGTAGCCTAAACCCTCACCTACAACTTAACTCTCTGAAACTATAAGTTTTGAGCATGTGCATGATATACATAATGTTTTGAGATGATGTAATGAAAGTTCTTGGCCAAATGAGTACTTTACACATATAGAGTAGACAAGAAATTCCATTAATTAATAATTGGCTCATATTCTGATCATATTAATTTAATGGATCATTTTAAGATATCCCAATAACTATAGTCAAATAACCAAGAGTTATGAAGTCTGAATTTTTTTCGAATCCATAGCTCAATCTAGTTATTGAATTTGCATTAATAAATTTTCTACTACAAACAATAAATGGGAAAAAAACTACTAAATTGTCTGAACCCATATGTAATACTATAATTTCGCATCTGAATTTCTAACTATAGATTGAATCTATCCAACTTTTAGGAGAGAAAAAAAACTCGTACTATATTTTATGTTAAGATACAAAATTAAATAGCAACACAAAACAAATCAAAACAAAATTGTTTAGATTTGTGAAAATAGACCTTTGGGTTGATAAAAAGGGGCGGCCACAAGTCATTATTGGTTGGTTCTCCCAGCTACTACTGAAGTTGCCGACCAATCGAGTTTGACTAAACCGGTAGCCTCCTTAATTTTGCTGTAACAATTTATAATATCCTTTATTTATACTTTTCTCCATATGCTTTAAAGAGTTCAATTATATCGATAGTAATTAAAAACCCATTTTTTAAAATTTCTAGTGTTTGAGAACAATTATTTCCTAAATAAATTTAAAAAGAGAGCATCACCAATAATGGTATATATAGGTTAGTTAAATCCTAGGAATACAAAATACAGTAGTCGTATCTTTGCTGGAAGAAAAGATAACCTTTTCATAAATATGACAGCTAACTACTTTTTGAAGCGTGGAGACTATAGAGTGGTGTTTGTCTATGTTAATTTTGAACTATCCAACAAATAAAATATTAAATTAAATACAATACTGAAAAGTAAAATTCAACCGACTAAAAGGGAGTGGGAGTATATAATAAAGTAGAATGTAGGGAGGAAAAACTGATAAATGCTTACACATGGATTTGTTATGAAGGTAGGCAAGGTTGGGTCACCCACACATAATTCCATCTCTCTTTTTTCAACTTATTGCACTATTTTCCCCTTTATAAACACTTGTCTTGTTATTTCCATCCTACTACTGAATACGTCAAATACTCATCGATCACCACCCAAAAGTAAGATATTGAGAAGAAATTAATTAAGTTCCAAGAAAATGAAGATGTTTGCTTGTGCAATTTTTGTGGCTATGGCTATTTTTTCAATACAAGTTAGTGGTCAATCAAATAATTGTCAACAAGTGATTGTTGGATTAGCACCTTGTTTGGATTATATACAAGGGAATGCTACAAAACCATCATCAGGATGTTGCACTCAACTAGCCACTATATTGAAAAATGAGCCACAATGTTTGTGTCAAGTGATTAATGGTGGTGCTTCTTCTTCTTTAGGAATTAATGTCAATCAAACACAGGCTGTGGCTCTTCCCAAAGCTTGTAATGTTCAGACACCCTCTGTTAGTCTCTGTAAAGGTAAGTTAAGTTCATCATCATGCCTATTTAGTACCACGAAAGCCATTTTTTGACTTGTTTTCTCTGTCAATATGTAAATATTTCAGCTACTACTCCATCTGGTTCTCCAGGATCTTCTTCAGGTACGAATCCAAATAAATTATATTTTAAAAAATCGTATAATAATAAGAACAAAACCTCTTCTTTATAATAATTCAAAAAAAATAATAAAACTCTTATTGTACTCTCTTTTTTTTTGTTTGTGCAGTTGGATCTAAGGGTGAACCAAGTGGAAATACAGGATACACCATAAAGCTGCCATACTTTCTCTTGTTTACCCTTGTAGTTGCAGCATCATTCACCACCATCTGAGATCCACTTTTGTTTGCAGTGTGTTTTGGAGTTTGGCACAATTTGGTTACGTTACTGTTTTTTTTTGTTTGTTTGTTTACTTTGTTAATTTGATGTAAACTTTGTAATTCACTACGCTAAGGCAGAGGCTTTGATGTACTTTGTTCAATTTTGAGATGTACTGTATTAAAGAGACTTAATCAAGATTATATTAATTTATAGTCGTGTTGGATGATCAATCCTTTTTTTAAGTACGCCAGGTACATTACAACTACTTATGAGTTACAGATTCGTATAGTCGATCAACTTGAACAATTTATTTTCAGCTCGAGATGTGGAATCTCCAAAACTTGCCAATACTATTATATGCTCAAGCAAATATGTGGTTCAACAGTTATGTGCTTAGAGCCTCTTATATATTACTAATTTAAAAGAAAGATATAGTTGCTCTATTCCAATTGTTACATGATTATGTGCTTAGCGATCACCTGCTTTGATCACAATACAGACTCGACAACCAGGTTGTTGTATTAATCAATTATGCAAGCACATGTGATATATAGTTGTCCTTTCTAAATTACGTGCACAATTAAACAAACTAGTTGGTAGAAAATGCTCCATGCATGACAAAATCAGTTCTATAATGCGTATTGCATGATGGGGTGTGGACCACATTTTGGACTCGAGAAGACTCCGTAACTTTAAATCTTGTAATTTTAAATTAAAGACATTTATAATGCACCAAATGTTTTTTTTAATCTTGTAGTCTTTAGTATGTAATGTGGTCTAAAAAGATTACTAAAAAGTGATAGAAACATTTTTAAAAAAAAATATGAATTAAAACAAATAGTAAGACAAACAAATAAGAAATATTAGCTTTCGTTGTCAGCATCCAGTATATAATAATGTGCTAACATCGAACAAGTGCATACATTCATTATTAGTTAAAGACAGATGAACTGCTCTCATCTTGTGTAAATGTATCATGACTAAAGATTTGAGATAAAAACTAGCAAGGATATCAGTAGATATGACCTACATTTTGTTCCAATATCGAAAATGCTTTCGCATTTACCAAGTACACATAAGCAGGCAGCATATGATACATCCAAAAAATCTGATACCAAAATAGGTACTCCATTAGTAACACCAGACTTTGAGACAAACAACAGAAGCAGAGAAACACAATTGATGTCTTAATCAAAATGCTACCTTAAAAACAACAAGTTCAACAACAAAAGTAAAACTCCAAAACCTAAAACATGACATAACTAGATAATTACTGCAGTAGTAACTACCAGTTTGGTCGAAGGACCTACAGACAACATATATCTTATAAAGACACTGAAATGACACATAACGAGTAGTGCTACCATGGCGAGAGTAGGGAGAACAATTAGCTCAACGATCTTCTTCCAACAGCTCCAACTAAAAGTACTACACAGAAAAGAAAAAAAAAATCAAATATAAGCATAAACTGTAGCACTTGTAGCTAGATACCAAGTTATAGACAACATCAAAATAGATAATTAAAAAAAAACTGAAGTCTTACCTTATCAATAGCTAGGGATCAACAATCTCCATAGGAAAGATGATTTTTTTTTGGCGAAGGATAAACCTCTTAACAAACATAATTGGACTAGCAAGAGGAAAGCTAAAAGGGAAGATACCGAAGACAAGGAACAGAAAAGGATACAAGTAACTATTAATTCCCCTACCCAATTTTCATTCCCAAAAAACAGAAAATTGGTTAAGGGGAAACAACTTCAAGAGGAAGTAGGAGATATATCCTATTCAGAGTTAAGAAGAAAAAATGACAAGAATACATACAAAGGTATGATGATGACCAGCCCATTCAGGCATTCAAGGAATAGCAAGGACTTATATATACCAAATATCCTATTTTCTAGTCATGAATTTGAATCTACCAAGAGATAGAGGAGGTAAGGATGCAAGATTGGATGAAAAGGCTAAGGTCTAGTAACTGAATAAAACAGAAGTCTAAAGGGATGCTATTCTGGTAGGGTCTAAGATATATACAATATCTCCGACTAACAGAATATCTAGAGGAACATGAAGAGGCAATAAGAACGAACGATCCTATGACACTGGAATCAAGAATGAGAATTGATGGTTATAACAAATTGATCTCCAGGGCATTAAAGATAGTTGAGTAACAAGTTATGCAACCTCTACAAAGAACTACAAGCTATCTATTTATTACTGTAATGTAATAGGAGCATCTCACTCATCACCCAGATTCTTCTTCCACTGATCAATGCACAAGCATACTCCATTAATTGAACTCCACTCATCACCCAGATTCTTCTTCCATAGTCTAACCATGTCTGCACATAAATGCACGAACTTTGAGTATACCCAGAGAGAGTTGATCAACCAGCCATTGTTCATATAAAATTCCCCTTAAAATAACCACTCTTGACAGGTGTTGTTGACAGGTGTTGAAACTTCACTACTGATCTACCATGACAAACACTAAGCGAGACGATAACTTCCTAACTAAAAAGTGATTTATTCACCAAATGAACTATCTACTATTACCCAATACGAAAACTACATAATCCCCTATTTAGCTGCTATTCAGACCTCCCACCACACATTCATCCATCATTAATTTCAAGGTTGAGCATGCGACGAAGAGTCTGTGTCACTGAGTCAGTACCATCATATACAATTCCCGGAGAAAGGCTGCGCTCCCTGGTTGGAGATGCTGGTGCAGACTTGGCAATGGGACGTAAATCAATATCAGATACAGAAGTAGGAAATTCAAGAGAGGCATTCCTTTTAGGCCTGAGAAAAAACTTGGGCATGGGCAAAGAACTAGGAGAAGGAGAATTCGAATATGCTGGCCCAGCCCATAGTTCAGAAAATGGTAACACATCATTCAAGAAATCCTCATTCCTAGAATCAACATCCACTTTGAGGTTAAATGGTATCGCAATCGTGCAATTTCTGGCTGTTTTTCCTGATTTCTTTTGATTTTCAGAATGAGACTTGACAGTATTAACAGGCAGTGATGTTAAAGGTGGTCGCGTTTTGGGAGACAAGGAACCCGAGAGGGCCCGTTTGATGACAGGTTTCTTGCAAGACTTGGATTGGGTTTGATATGAACCTGCTCTGGACTCAAAAGCCCGACAATTTACCTCCCTGAACCCACCAAAGGGAGGTGAACCAAATGACCCAAATCGAATAGGGCCTTGTGCCCTACTTCCCCCACAGTTTTGATTCCGATGCCGAGGAACAACAATCATTTTCAACTGAGCCAATAACCGATTCAATCAAATTTCACTATAACTCACTATCTTATCGACAAGCCTGAAAATCTAACCAGAAACAACAGAGTTCAAAGATTCATACTGGCGCTTTGAAATGCTGTAAAATGACTGTAGATCCTAAATTTTCACTCAACCAATAGGTTACCAGGTAATCACTATCACTGAATCCAAACTATTCTTCAACATACACGTTTATGTAAAATCTATCCACAATCACCACTTCACCCTTCAGTTTCTTCAGATCTATAATCCAGTAACAAAAAACAAGCAAAAAGAAAAAGACATCAGTCAAGTAACATGAGATCAAACAAATCAATAACACAAAATGGAAACACCCAAAACAAAAAAGAGCAAAAAAGTCTAGCATCATATAATACAACTACTACATCTCAATTTCAGGGATAAATTCATTCCACTTTATATGTAAAAATCAAAGAATTGTACTAACTTCATACAAATCAAAGTTCTAAATTTAATTTTCCAGTAAAGATTCAGAAAATTACCTGATGTCAGAAAGTATATAGTGAAGCAGAGTACTGAAAAGTGTGATTTATGATGAGATTTTTCTCCTTATCCTAATAAGCAAAGAAACATATATTGGATATGAACAGTAGATATTACTGTACTTGGTTTGTATGGTTGTCAGTTCTCTTTGTATAATCGAGCCACCATAGATTCAGTCCTTAAGCTTTTTCGAAACCTGAATCTCCGGATCTGAAATTAATCCTAAGTCGTATTCAAATTTAGTTTGAAGTCCAGTGACATTGGATAAATAGCCCTTCTTTTATGATGTAATTACGAAAATGACACGGTCTCCGTAGGATGTTTTGTGGATCCATTTGACTTGTGATTTTGGGCTTATTTACGTCGTTTCGGTTTTTACTATTTACAAAATGGTTGTTACTTGTTACCTATTTATCATTAATTTTAAAATTTGCAATAATATATAATAGGGAAAATTTTCAAAACAGCCATATTTTTGCATCTAATAGGACCCCTTGGTGTTACTCTTATTTTCTTTGATCATAGTATTATTTTATAGAGTCCGAAGTCGAAAAGGCAAAAAATTGAAATGTCACCATTTTGGCTTCAAACTTATTTTTGTTGCTCTTTTGGAAATTTCACTCAATTTTTTTTGTCTTTTCGGCTCCATTCTTCCGTGACATCATGAAATGATGAAAATTACATTAATACTAATACATTATGTATCAAGTTGTTACGTTGAAAAGAGAAAATATGGAAAATTCAAATAACAAAACCAACAAATTCAAATTTCTTCATCCTATTCATCGTTCTCCCTGTTCATCGAAGAACCATTCAGATTTGCTGAAAAGTTGATAAGATACATAATGAATAATTGTTGGACAAACAATTTCTTTTGTGAATCTCAAATCTACCATTGTAGGAGATCGATGAGATGAGGAAAAACTTGAAAATCCGATACATAGTGGAAGGAAATCACAGGAAAATGTTATTGACAATGGGCCCAGGCAAATTGTAACAGGCTAGCACAATTCAAAATTCAAAATTCTTCTTTTCATTCTTCCAAAAAACTCTCAATTTTTTAATCGAAATTATCGACAAAATTGTACTGATACAACATGAACCTGACGATTTTGTTAAGACATTCCGAATTTTGGGAAAGTGATGTGAGGTATGGACGATACAAAAGTGATGGAATTGTCGTTGGTCAAAATATTGATTTTGTGAATATCGAATCAGTCATTGCAGTTGAATTAGGGATCGATGAGTTAAGGAAAAATTTAGAGATCCGATACATTGTTGAGGTGAAGAAACAAGAGCTTGAATTTTCAATGTATTTGTTATGCATTAATACAACATACAAAAAGGCTGAAGAGATACATTCATCCCTTTTATAATGTTGAATAATTATTTTTTCGAGATGGATAGATTTACCAATACATTACTATTTTTGTATTTTGTGTAAATTGATAAGTGTTGTATTTTTACTAGATACATTAAATAAGTAATTGTTATTCATAAGATGTTAGGTTTGAGATCGATACATTACTGTGTGGTAATTGTTATGTATCATATACATTTAGTATAAATTCAAATGTACATATCATGCCTAAAAAATTAGTGCAGGATACATGACTATTTATGTATCTTATTTTATTTGAAAAATACTGTATTTTGTTTTTAAAATATATATTATACATGTAATTATTCCAAATAGCAATTTTTTGTGTGATACATAATAGTATTGATTAGTTGATATGTATATGATACATGTAATAAAATTTGAAAACTATTGAATTTGATATATATTATGTATCATTTACATATCAGTTAATTTGATACACAATGTTTTAGTTATAGAACATTAGGGTTTGTGTATCAAGTGTATTTATTGAGTAATGTATACAAACACACAGTCTTCTAGCTAAATAAGTTTGGGTGTATGTATCTGATAGTAAAAGATTGTCACTTATATGTATAATATACCTATTGTTGGATATGATACACAGTGCTCTAGTTATTAACATTATGATTTATGTATCAAGATTGAACATACATTATACAACTTGATACATTAGATAGTGTTTATGTATCAAGTACATTTATATTGATATGATAAACATTAATCGAAGATTCAACAATATTAAAGTTATATATCAATACCTTAAATATGAGCATGATACATTGCATAAAACAAAGGCTATTATAGCAGTGATGTATCGGATCGATGATAACACTAACAAAGACTAATTTAATAATCAAAATAAATGAGATACATTGAAAATCTGTATATTTGGCAGTGATGACCGCGTAATGATAGATCCAAATGTTATTGTTGCGAGAGAAAAAATGGAGACTATGACTCATTTATTTCTAACGACTCTGATAACCCAAAAGCTATGGAAGCATTTTGCTTATTGTGCAGGGATAAACATTGAAGGATTACACCTTCAACAACTCGTAGTAAAGTGGTAGGAACACAAGGCAGCCAACAAATTAAAGCAAGTGATAAAGGTTGTCCCAACGGGATACACTTTCAACAGGATGAGCTATCAATGTCACATGACAATATTCCAGTTGATAAGAGTTAGTCACCGTGGCTTAAGGAAGTTCCACATCAGTGGAAGGACATGGTGGAGATGTTACAAATATACAAACTAACTCTCTATTTTCATATAGTGAGCTAGAAATCACCAGAGGAGAGATGGATGAAGTGCAATACTGATGGTGCGAGCAGAGGAAACCCAAGACAGTACATATGGATACTGTATTAGAAATAGTGAAGGAGATCTAATCTATGCAGAAGCACATAACATAGAAGTGACTACGAACATGAAAGCAACGGCTATGGCTACATGAAGGCATTACAACTTTACTAAGTCAGAGATACAACCTGAAAATAGACTCTTTTTCTTTGAGAAATATGTTGACCCATAATTAAAAAATCCCATGGAAGTTGGTAGAAATGTTAAAAGACATTCATGGGATCATGTCACAAATAAATGTTACAGTTAAACATATTTTTAGGGAAGCTAATCAATTAGCAGATTACATTGCTACTTTAGCTATGGGCAAGGAGGAAAAACAATAATTCCAACTCTGCAATCAATTACCAAGCATGGAAAATAAAATTCTAAATATTGACAAACACCAAATTCATTCGATCAAAGTTAAAACAAGGAAAATCAACATCATCACCTACGACTAACAAGCTTAGTTACAGATTTGAAGCCACAAAGTTCCATAAACAATATGTACAAATTTGATTGATGCGATAGTAAGAGCAAAATGGTTGTGAGTGAACTAACTAATCTAAGCTATGAGAGTCGGCAAAAAAGGGTTACATGCACCAACAAAATATGAGAGTCAATGAACCAAATCTGCTTTGCTCATTGGTATCCTGCTAGGAGCCCAAAAGGATGAAGCGTGGGAGCATGGGTTCACTCCGGTTCGTCTTCAACTACAAAAAAAGATAGCCAGAGCTGGAAAAGTTTATCACAAAAGAGGATGGAAAAATGTTACTTAGAAGAACTTCAAAACTTGTATACATGATTCATACTCTCCTAAGAGTTCTACCAGAACTCATACATCCGAACCGGGTAGCACACCTTCAAGTAAAACTAGGAAGTCAGCTCAGAAATGACAAATGGACAAGGAAGACGAAAATATATATACCTTTGAAAACTGATCTTGAATATCAATAGAGAGAACCACACATGGAGGATATTTATCACCTAAAGAAGGAGGAGGAGACTGCGGTTGGGGGTCACAAGGAGGAACATCTTCGGAGGGTCGGAATGGACAAGACAAAAAGGAGGAAGAAGATTCAGAATAGGAAATCCTATTTTTAGGGGACTTGTTGTTTATACATGAGCTAGTCACTTTTGGGCCGTCAGGTTGAGTTTGTATGAGTGGATCTATTTGGTTCCACCGGATGAGGTTTTGATAAAGGACCATGAGTCCAAAATTGAATTTAAAAAAAATGTTCATCTATAATACATTGTGTGATAGTCTGTCACATATCAGTTTGAGAATACTTGTTTGCAACAAAATTGTTAACTTCAAATGGATATTTCATCTTACTATAATAACTTATGAAAAAAAAATGCATCAGAGCTATAGTCATTGTCTCTCCATATGTGATAACGATGATGGTAATAAGTCCACAAAAATATTTGTTCTTTTAATGGCAACCAATTTCATAGAATATTATGAAATGATCTTAAGAATTAGACTGAACGACTACAAAGACTTCTAAAAGATCAGACAACGTTCAAGTGTATAAAATGATACTAACATGTTATGTTTACTTTGTGTGGTAAGAAAGAAATTACAATTTTTTTTTTGAATAAAAACAAGGAGATTTGATGAGATTAGTAAAGTTATTGTGAGAAAACTTCATTGCCAATGAAGTTGTAATTAAAATAGTTATGACGACAAAGTACTTTTAACTTTTTTCTGTTCAACATGAAAAGTTCATGATTTGATTTACATATCAACCTTAAGCAATAAAATGCTTGTTTTTACAAGAATATCAGGTCACTGAAGTGTATGCAAATTACTGTATATATGTTTGCCCTTTAAAAATAATTTGGTTTTAATTGTTTAGATCATAAATACTACTATTTTATACATTTTCATCGATAAAACATCCACAACAGATCATTATCAATTATCATTATCATCTACAACCATCATTCTATGCCACAACTCTCATGGCTGCAGATCACCACAACATTTGTTACCTTCACCAGCAACTACTTACAATTTTTACCAACGATCATCATAATCACAATAACCATTAATATTGCCGCAATCATTACTAAACATTACTATATATCATCAACCACCATCATAGTTCACCAAATATCGTTAACTATTGCTATCATCCATTACAATTACTAATTATTACTATCAACTACCAACCATCAACCATGTTAACCACTAGCTATAACGGGGTTACGACAATACCATCTCTAATCGACCCATTTCCACTAGTATTAACCATCATCAACTGTCATATAATGTTTTAAGATATTTTATTAATATAATATTAGATTAATTTAATATTTTATTAAAATTGAATATATATTTTAAAAATAAAACTAAATTTTACATACTAAGATATTAAAAAAATTATAATAATTATTTAAATATTAATGCAATTTTTTGATATTTGAACATGTAAAAAAAAATTAAACTTTACTACTCCACAC